TCTCTCTCTCTCTCTCTCTCTCTCTCTCTCTCTCTCTCTCTCTCTCTCTCTCTCTCTCTCTACCAATTTCAGATCCTTGTTCAGTTAAGCAGCTAGCAAACATGGCCACAACGATGAACGTATTCTCTACCAAATGGTCCTCTGAAATGGTATATTTCTACGCATATATACACACATACATATTTATACGTGTGTCTCTTTTTATCTTATGATTTTCGAAAGAAAAATATATTCATTTTCTTTCTTCTCTATTTTTTGGAATATTTCTTAATAATTTGTTTCCTTCTGTAGGATATAGAAGAGTATAGCATCATCCACCAGTACCACATGAACTCACTCGTAGGAGATTTTCCACAATCTCTCTCATCTCTTGATGATACTACCACTAATTGTTATAACTTTGATGCTTCTTGTGGTGATGATTTGGTGGAAGAGAAACCTTCAAAGATCCTCAAGACTACTCACGTTTTACCAAAGTTACATCCATGTCCGTACTCCAATCCTACTCAGCCATCTTCTAGAATTCTTTCTTTCGAAAAGACGGGACTGAAAGTAATGAATCACAACTCTCCAAACTTAATATTTACCCCCAAGAAAGAAGTTGGACCACCAGATCTGATAACAAGAGGGACAAAGAGGGCTCAACCCTTTACTCGAAGCCAATCAAATGCTCAAGATCACATACTCGCCGAGAGAAAACGCAGAGAAAAACTGACTCAAAGATTTGTAGCTCTTTCCGCCCTGATTCCTGGTCTAAAGAAGGTACATATACATAACCGTTCTATTTAGTGAGGCAAGAACTCGATTTTCAAAGGACATTGCTATATTTTTCTTGGCCAAGTTTGAGATCATCTTGGGATCTCCAGTTGTGAAACTAGATTCTTTGGTCAGAACTGACTATCTAAATATCGAAAAATATAACAATCCAACATATATAAAAATAATGAGGGGTTTTACTAAAAAAAATCATTGGAGGGTCAGCTTGATCATGAATATTCATTTCAATGAATCTTATATATGTTTACCTAATATTAACTTATTTTTATATGTGTTTACAGATGGACAAGGCTTCTGTGTTGGGAGATGCAATAAAGCATATAAAGTACCTCCAAGAGAGTGTGAAAGAGTATGAAGAACAAAAGAAAGAAAGAACAATGGAATCGATGGTTCTTGTGAAAAAATCTCAGGTTTTGGATGATAATCATCAATTATCATCATCTTCCCCTGATGAAAATCGTGACTGCTCGAGCTCGAATCTTCCAGAGATGGAGGTTAGGGTTTCAGGAAACGATGTTCTTATTAAGATCATATGCGAGAAGCAAAATTGCAATCTGATCAAGATTATGAGTGAGATTGAAAAACTTGGTTTGTCTATCACCAACAGCAGTGTCTTGCCATTTGGACCCACTTTCGACATCTCTATCATCGCTCAGGTAACTAGATTCTCATACAAAACTATTTAGAATAAATATTTTGGAGGATATAGGTTGAACTTGTTTGTTTTGTGAATATTTAGACATGTTGGTCGAAATGATAATGAATACGGTTCTATAGAGAGTACATAGTTGAGCTAATTTTTATATTATCATTTTTAATGGCTGAAGCATGTTACGAAAGTAGTATAACTTTCGTCTTAAAATCCCATTAATGGGAAAAATCTAATTTCTAATGTGTATGCTTTTGCAGAAGACAAGCGATTTTGATATGAATGTTGAGGACGTTGTGAAGAGCTTGAGTTGTGGTTTTTCATAGTTGATTTGATTGGTTCCATATTGCTTATCTACTCACATTCCTCAACGATTTCTCCGACCCAAGAATCTAAAATTGATTTTTACATGAAAGTGTTTTTTTAAGGTTTCTTAGTCATCTGTAGAACCTTGTTCGTGTTGTTTATATGTCCTGAACACATCATCAATATGTCATCAATGTTTTAGTAGACGGGATATTTTTCGCAGCTACTTGATTATTTCTTGCGATTTAAAGCATTCCGTTTATTTTATGAATGTCATTTTTTTACTTATCACTTCTCTTGTTAAGCAAACATATTTAGGCGGTAAAAGTTCAGTAATTTCTGATAATACAAATTTTATTTTTCAAAAGCTACAACTAGAGCCATCTCTTCATTAATTTTCAATAACCATAGAATCCCAAAGACTTTCTAGGTCCACAAAACCTTACATCCGGATAAGGATTATCTCAGTTAGGATGCGGCTAAATGACCAAATCGAATCAAATCCAAGTGACAAAAGTTTCAGCCGGAACTCCTTTACACTTAAACCAACGCGGCTTCGTTCAAGTCATCCCTCCATATATAAAGTTATTGGGGACGATTGGTTGGATTGTAGTTGTAGAAATGTTATTGTAAAAATTTAATCTATAATTTTTTAAACTAGCTATATTTAATGTATCTATAGAAATTAAATTAAAAAAATAATAAAAAAATATTCTTACATCAATATATTTTTACAAGAGTCATTTTTAAAACTAAAATACTTGATATAACCCAATCAATCACCCCTATTCCCATTCAGTACACATATTATTTACCTTTTAAGTTCTAATCATAGGTATACATCATTGGTTTACAACAAGGTACTATTATCAGTGGCGGAGCCAGCCATCCACATTTTTTATTGAAGCATTTTAATTCTAACCATATGTTATAGGTGTCACATAATTAAATTTTTGTAATGTTTCACTAGATCTGTTGTTTAAATTAAATGTAAATTTGTTTTATCAGAATACAGAGGGGGTTAGATTATCCCCTACCGTAATGGTAGCTCCCTCACTGACTATAACACTACAAACTTTAAGATGGCTGGATTAAAAGTCTTAAAGTAGACAACTTGAACCAGATCTTTGAAGGAGTGTTCCTTCGTGTGTGTGAACAAGGTAGTTTGAGCCATGTAATGATCTTAACTTCTTCTCTAAGCACTAATACTCAACTCATGAGGGAATGTTATTAAAGTCTATCTTATAAGTCCACATCATTTTCTATTCATCTACAGAAACACACAAAAATCGAATAGATCAAATTTTTAAAATAAGTATGATGATAACATTCACACATTCTCAGAATATACATGTACATAGCTTTTAAAACATACACACACGTATAAACATATATATATATATATATATATATATAAAATTGAATTCAAGGAAAAGTTAAAACTAACTCATTTAAATTTTCTAGACCTGATTTCAATAATAGTAATTTTCAACTCCATGACTTTTTTTAATTATCATCCTAATTAACGGGAAATATAAAAGTGAAAGGCAAAAGTAACATCTGAGTGGGATGTTCCTTGAAAACAGGCCAGCAAAGGTGACAATTTATGGGTTATTAAATTGAATTGAAAACGTGGGATTTTCACATGTTCTTGGAAACAGTTTCAAGGAGGTCAAATAAATGTGACTACCAATAAGTCATGAACCTAACACCAATCTTAGATTCATAATTGCATAGACCAAATAATGTCCTAAATATTGGGAGGAGGTTCTGCGTTGTTTATGGTCAACAAAGAAGAGAGGTTTGTCAAAAAAAAAAAAGAAGAGAGGAAGATGTTACAGCAAACATACGAAAATAAACAAAAACCTATTTCAACTCATAAACAAACTATTTACATTTCTAACTTTCATTCAAACACTAAAATAAATATCAAAGTTTCATTGACCAAATTAATTTAGCTACGTGGTTATTTAACCACTAAAATGTCATTAAAATTTAACATATACATTTAGCATCATAAGAAGAAAAATTAGCCAAAAAGATAACAAATTTTGGCCATTTTTTTGCAAAAAAAATAAATAAAAATTAGCCCAAAAGTTTTAACTTTCAATTCAAGCAGAAATCCCAAACTATTTTATTATTCATTTAGGCACTAATAAATTCCTTACTTATATTTCCATTACATTCCATGTTTAGTGATCAATGTTAAAATTTGTTGATAAACGTTTAAACATCTCACATGTACATCAGTAATATAACCGACTTATTTTCCCTGCTCAAATCCCCTAATCCATTATTTTTTCCAATTTTATTTTTAAAATGTATTGAACATTTAACTATCATTTGACACAACCACATGTTTAGCATTATTTTCCATATTTGATTTAACCCCTCATCGGTATTATGTCGCAATGTTATAAGTTTAGTCTATGTACCATTTGGAGATTGACGGAAGAAATATTTTGAATATAAAATTTGGAGAATCGAAGATGAATCTATAGATTTGGAAAGGGCATTAGGTCAATTATATTATGGATGCCTATTTGTGCTGAACGATTTTGCTTTATGTTCAACCTGTGTTAATGAAGTTTGGCAGTAGATCAAACCAATGAAAGTAAGAGATTTATTTTTTTTTGCCATAGACTAAACTTATAACATTGCGACATAATACCGATGAGGGGTTAAATCAAATATGGAAAATAATGCTAAACATGTGGTTGTGTCAAATGATAGTTAAATGTTCAATACATTTTTAAAATAAAATTGGAAAAAATTGGAGATTGACGGAAGAAATATTTTGAATATAAAATTTGGAGAATCGAAGATGAATCTATAGATTTGGAAAGGGCATTAGGTCAATTATATTATGGATGCCTATTTGTGCTGAACGATTTTGCTTTATGTTCAACCTGTGTTAATGAAGTTTGGCAGTAGATCAAACCAATGAAAGTAAGAGATATTTGGGCATTTAGCTGAAGAGCTGTTTTAAAAAAAATAATTGAAACGTGATTTTTGGGGAATTGGGCTGTATAGGCAAACAAAAAAGCTTAATTGGCAAAATAGCTAATAACCCTAACAGACAATCACATGCCGTTATATTTCTATACTAATACTATTTTCTCTTTTTGCGGCAACCGGTGTAACCTGCACAAATAAAAAAAATTGAAGTTATTTATTAGGTATAAAATTGTAGAACGTGTCTTACCATCAGCCACATCTTCTTTTCACTTATCTAAGTACATTCATAGAAATTAAAACATCTCCAACACTGCCTTCGCTTTCTCCTCCTCCTCCATCTCCTTCTCCTCGTATTTTCACTTCTCCTTCGGCGCAATCAACGGTCGTTACTCTGGAGCGGCTTGAGTGAACAATCCGTGTGAAACCAACTTCGCAAAGTCGATTCTTCACCGATCTCTTCACCCACCGTAAGTTTTCTGCTGTTTATCTTCTTTTCTCTTCATCTCTTATTATTTTCTCTTCTATTTCGTAGTTACTGGGAACTAAGGTTCTCTAAATGGTAAATCTATCATGTATTTTATGGATTAAACTACGGATTTGTTATTAAAATTTGACTCTACCTTTCACAGCCTGTTGGGGATGGGGATCTGTTATTAAAATTTGGCTCTATCTATCATGATTTAGGGTTTGGGTTTCTCTGGTTGTTCTTTTTCTTTGTTACATCTGGATTTTGCATTTAGGATAGATGCATAGTAAATATTATAGTAATATAGTTTGTTGTATGGAATAACATCTGTAATACAACTTGTATGCGTGAAATTATTGTCTCCCTGAGATTTCTTATGCCTATTTGATTTGAGATGGAATAGAAAAAACTATATATTCAAACTATTCGATTTGAGATGAAATCGATTGACAAACTATTCTATTTGATATTTACTATGTGCATATTATGCTATATGAATTATGGTTTATAGTTTCTTTTAGGGTTTATTGATTTGTATTTTAGGTTTTAGTTTATGGAGATTTATAATATATGGATTAGGGTTTATAAAATATTTATGATCTATGAAAATACACAAATTTTCATATATCTGGATGTTTTTCTATGTTATGTACATTTTTTCCATTCTATACGGAATCAAATGGAAATAATAACAATGTGTATCAGATTTACATGTTCTTATTCTTGCATACGCTTGCCATGTCCGTGATGCAGAACAACCTGGTTAATTATCGCAATAATGATTGTTCGATTAAATCCCTAATGCATTACATTGTTGATTATTAATCCTTTATACTTCATGTTGATGTAAATTTGAATTTGAATAGTATGTACTATTCTATTTCGTTTATTACTATTCTATTTTTGAAAAAATTAATTTTATATTATGTTCAGATTTTGATATTTTTGTTCAGATTTATAATTTTTTTTTTGATTAGTTTCAAAGTTCTGCATTTAGTTTATGGACATTAGACAATGCATTACCTCATTCTCTACAATAATAGACATTTCTTAATTTTAGTAATATGTACTATTTGTTATTTTGTTTGTTACTATTCTATTTTCATAATATTCTATTTTGATAATACTTGATGCTATGTATTATGTGCATATTATGATATATGGATTACGGTTTATAGTTTCTTTAAGGGTTTAGTGATTAGTGTTTAGGTTTAGTTTATGGAAGATTTATGATATAGAGATTAGGGTTTTATAGTTTCTTGTTCGTATTCTTGTTGTTGCATAAGATTGACATTTGGGCTTATTATCCGTGATATAGAACATCTATTCCATGTGTAAAGGAACGCCTGTATGTATCTTTGTAGATAAATAGTATACTGTTATTTGAGATAGAATGGAATAGGAACTTACATAGTACGTCAGTTTATCATCATGCTTAGTTTCATGGCATCATTGTTATGTACTATGTGCATATTATGATATATGGATTAGGGTATAATTTATTTTAGGGTTTATTGATTAGTGTTTAGGTTTAGTTAATGGATGATTTATGATATATGGATTAGGGTTTTATAGTTTCTTGTTCGTCTTCTTGTTGTTGCATAAGATTGATATTTGGGTTTATTATCCATACAAAACATTTAGTCTATGTGTAAAGGAACCACCTATATGTATATTTGTAGATAAATAGTATAATGTTATTTAAAACTACTCCATCTAGGATAAAATGTAATAGGAATCTACATAGTACGTCAGTTTACCATCATGCTTAGTTTCATGACATCATTGTTTACCTTATCACTACTCACTATTTTTCCTTATTTTTTATTGTGCTAGGTTTGAGATGGACGAGTTAGGCCTTCCAAGTAGATTGTTCGAGACAGGGTTTGAACC